GGGGATCACCTTTAAGCAAGACAGCACAGGGCTCAGAGCGCTCACTACCCAGATAAACGAGGAAGAATTACTTTCAGTTCCAGAATGGATTTGGGGTACAGTAGCGAGGTCCCCAGGGAAGGCTGATTATTTGGCAGTCACCTTTTGCCCTTTGCATATCCCAAAGGCATTGCACTCAGGAACTGGGGGGCTCGAGTTCAATAAAAGCCAACACAGTGACATTCGGCATCATGAGAAAGATGAACTTCTCCATAGTTTTGCAAATTAAATTATTAGGTAACTGAGCAGGGAGCCCTCCAGCGAACCTGGGGGAGGAAGCTTGGTGTGGGAAAGTGTGCACTATAGGAATACACCCTCTGTATAAGACTGCTGCAGTAAGCAGTGGCACAGGGGTCTATGTTTCTTGGGTGTGGCTGGGTGTGCCTCAGGATCGGCAGGTGTGACAGTGAGACTCGGTGTGCAGCCCTCTGCATTCTCCGATGAGGGCTACAAAGCCCAGCTCCTCTGCTCTAAGTGGCCCATACCTGCAAAGAGTGACAAACGCCGGGCACAGAGTCCCCAATGGCAGCTGCCCCCTGCATGCTCAGGCATGCAAGTAGCATGATGCACATATGAACAGACTTTATTCCAATCAAGGGTAGGAGCACCACTGCTCGTCTGCTCACATGGACAACGAACGTGACCCAAGGGATGCAGAATAGTTTCCAACGATTTTATAGTCTGGTCTGCACAAAGACAAGTCTCAAGAAGAAAACAGAGGAAGCAAGCTAGGAATGTAGCTCAGAGGCAGGGCACCGGCCTAGCATGCATGAGGTCCTGGGTTTGATTCCCAGCACCACAAAAACAAACAAAAAGCAGAAATAACTGCTTTGTAAATGATACATTCAAACATAGTTAGACCTGATACGGCCACTTGATTGCTTATATGTGACAATGAGCTCTGTAGGCACTTGGTTCAGCAAACAAATTGTGTTGCTAAAAGAAATAAGGACTGCAGGACTGGCGCAAATGGCAGAGTACCGGACTAGCAAGTGCTGAAGCCCTGAGTTCAAACTCCAATACAAGAAAGGAAAGAAAGAAGTCTTGTTGTTTGTTTGTTTTTGCGGTACTGGGGTTTGAACTCAGGGCCTACACCTTGAGTCACTCCACTAGCCCACTAGTCTCACAAACTATCTGCCTGGGCTGGCTTCGAACCATGATCTTCCTGATCTCTGCCTGCTGAATAGCTAGGATTGCAAGCATGAGCCACTGGCAACGAACAGATGTTAAGTTTTTTGATTGAGTAAGATTCACTTTTCTTGTGTTTGGGGGAAAAAAAATCCGTATCAGGTATGAATAAGAGAGAAAGCCAGACTGCATTTTGATATAGATTATGCATGTATGTGCTTGACTGTTTGTTTATTTACTTATTTATGCTAGACTTTGCTGTAGCTTATTTTTCAGTTAGGACCTTGCACTTTTGCCCAGGCTGGCCTCAAACTATGATTCTCCCATCTCCGCCTCCACAGTAGTTGAGATTATAGGCATGTATCACCACACCCAGCTCAATACGCACAGTTTTGATAAATTGATAAATCACCTAAGAGAGTGCAGGTGAAAGGGACTGAATCTCTAAGGCTAAAGGAATTTTTCTGGGATTGTTTTTTGTCATTGTAAATAAAGGTCATGCCTGATTATGTGCTCTTAAAAATAGTCCCCAAAATTTTCAACCTCCTTCCCAATCTGCAGGCACCTGACCCTAGTTTCCCATTTAGAACAATTTTCCACAGTTCCCTCTTTCTGTCATTTAAAGAAGTTTACGAGGAAACAGAATTCCATTTCACTTCTGAACTACTGGTCTTTCTGGTTTCAGAGAAGGCAAGCAAGTGTAGGAGGAAAAACCATTTCCACTTACTGTTTAAATCTCATCTGCCACCTTTTGGGGGTGAGTGGGGGTGCTGAGGGTCGAACCCAGGGCCTCGAGCAAGTGGCTCTGCCACTAGGACCACTGAGCCCCAGCCCACCAGTATTGTCTGCTACTTTGAGGTCAACGCCCCAGCAGGACCCCCTGTAGTGGGTCTTGCTGATTGAATGTCTGATGCCACTGCTGTCCAAACCTCCCAGGGACCAAGGCGGTCAGGATTGTTCTTGTTCAAGTGGACAGTGTAGAAGCCAAATCCTACAATGAGGTGTTCACATAGCAAACTATGATTTTATTTACACGACGGGGGGGGGGGGGGGGGGGGGGGAGAGGGTTAGAGGACACTGGCCTAAACACTGACATCAAAAAAAAGTATGAAAAAATGCTGTTTAACAGTTGAGCATGAAGATTTGTCATATCTACATGCCAGACAAAAGGGAGAAAGAAAAACAAACAAAAAACCAAACATAGGAATGGCAACAGGGAAGTCACATTCTACACTTGGCCTCTCAGCCCCAGGCCACTTGGGGGACCAGCTAGCCCTTCCTAGAAGACCAGGCCTTTCAGGATCTGATGAAGGACAAGATCTATTAATTACCAAGCTTCCTGTGAGTAGCATTTGGTATTTACTCAGATCCCCTAGGCCATGCCTGGTCAGGAGCTCAGAGACAATGGAATAAGTCACAGGAGGGACAGAGGCTTTCTGTGAAAGTCAGTGTTGACCCATGCACTAGAGGAAGGTGCCAGCAAACCTCCAGGAAGTCTGTCCCAGACCGAAAGGACCTCCGCGCTCTCTGGGAGTATGTGGCACACGTATCAGCCCTAAGCCTTCACCCACCCGCCCTACACATGAGCTGAGCCAGAAGAGGACTGCTGACCCCAGGCCCCCTGGGTGACACTGTCCAGGGGTCCTTTGGAACTACCCTCTGTTCCAGCAACCCCTGAGCCAGCCTTGCCCTATCTGGGCTTTCACTCTACAGCCTTCAGGAAAAACTGCTGGATCATCCTGTTCCTACAGCCAGCTCCCCATGCCCTGCACAGGGACAACTCAACTTTGGGAATCTGCTGATCTGGGCTTGAGTTAGGCACGACACCTCAGTGTAGTTGCAACTATTAAAAATGAAAATGCACAAGCCGGGTGCCGTGGCTCATGCCTGTAATCCCAACTACTCAGGAGGGAAAGATCAGGAGGATCGTGGTTCAACGCCAGCCCAGGGAAAAAACACAAAAAACAGGGCTGGTGGAGTGGCTGAAGTGGTAGAGCACCTGCCCAGTAAACACTAAGATCTGAGTTCAAACCCCAGTGCCAAAGAAAAAAAACAAAAGAAAAGAAAATGCACAAAATACACAATTCTGGGCCCCATGCTAAGAGTGCACGGAGGCTGGAGTGTCGCTCTGCGGTACAGCACTTGCCTGGTGCGTGGAGGCCTTGGGTTCAATCCCCAGCACCGTGTGGGGTAGGAATTGGTGCTTATGAGCTTTTGGCTGTTCCTGTCATTTCTGCTGGCATCTCTTGTCCTCACTTTTTTTTTTCAGAGCCAGGATTAAACCCAGGGCCTTCCATGAACCACTAAGCTACAGCCAAGCCCAGCCCCGTCTTGACACATCTAAGTCGTTAAACCTGAACTCTGCGTGGCGCTCATCTCTTGCAAACTTGGTTAGGCAATCCCCAAGTGGCCTCTTAGCCTTACTTAACCTCTGCCACCTGCAGTGTCCCTGCTGGGAAGGCCTGGGACCCATCTATGACTTGACCGTAGTCAACGTGGCTGCTGCTTGATTTAAACCAAAAGTGAGCACAAAGAGGCAAGCCTGGGGCTCGGGTGGGATTCTGAGTTGGGTCCATTCCAATTATTTGGGTGGATGTGATTTAAATCACACGAGGTCAGGCAAATGCTCTGCCTCGAGACTGTGTCTATTTCTAACTTGCTGCAGTGCCTGTGGTGCTACATAAAGATGCGTCTTCATGTCCATGTCCAGCGTGGGGACATGGGATGGAATGGCTTCTACCTGTGCCAAGAGTCCCATCCGACGGGGACTTTCCTCTCACTGGTCTCTCTTACTCTCATTACACATAAGAACCAACTTACTGCATGCTAAGTCATCATTTTATCTATCTTCAATGGTGAAGAATAAAAAGAAGGTACTTCTTCAAAAATGGAGCTTTCACTTTTCACAGAATCAAGGTCTAGGTGCTTGAGTCTGGCCCCGAGGTGTGGTTCTTCACTCCATGAGCTAAAAATCAAATGAGCAACACTGTGACAAAAGACGCTCTGGCCGGGTGCCAGTGGTTCACGCCTGTAATCCTAGCTACTCAGGAGGCAGAGATCAGAAGGATCAGGGTTTGAAGCCAGACCTAGGCAAATAGTTGGCGAGACTCTATCTCGAAAACCCCATCACAAAAACGGGTTGGGGGAGTGGCTTGAGCGGTAGAGCACCTGCCTAGCAAGTGTGAGGCCCTGAGTTCAAATCCCAGTGCCACCAAAAAAAAAAGAAAACAACACTCTGTCCAAAAACCATCCCCAGGACCTCTAGATTCAAAAGCTGTAAGACATGTAACACATCATAGTTTAGGCAAAGAGACACTGTGCGCCATGCAACGTACCTACCAGGAAAACCTGTGAGTTTGGTAGGTTTCTCTCTAGAGTGACCGAGTCTGGATTGTTACTTCCATTTCTGTTTGGGGCATGCTGGGGACTGAACCCAGGGCCTCACACACACTACCATTGAACTACACCTCCAGCCACACTCTGCTAAAGCAACCCTGACTTCAGGATTTGCAACAAGAATTCAGTCAACACCAGACAAGTTATTTGGACAAAGCAACGATAATTTTAAAAACAGCAAGTTCTAGGTAAAAATGTCTACAAAAGAGGAAACATAACGTCAAGACCTAAGTATAGGGTTATGAAAATGGCCTGCTAAATGCTTCCTTCTGAAACCAACTGATTGTTTTTTTTGCTGACATCACCCACCACCAGCCAGTATGACAGTGTATTTTCTGCTGAAAATATGTGAGAACAGAGTTCTCCACAGTTCACTGAAAGTGCTGTCTGCCCTTCAGCCCCCGGTGTCCTGCCCCAATCCTGGAAGGACCGCTTACCATCTGTGACAGTGACTTCTTCCTCCTGGCCTGTTGGGGCTCCTTCCTGAGAGCTGAGATCTCCTTGCTCAGATAAACCATTGGCGGTGGATAGCTGGCCATTCTTCTGAAGGAGCTGTGGGAAAGACAAAGCCATGTAAACTTAGCCTCAGTCCTGTGTCCAAGTTAGGAGCAACACATCAACTTCCAGAACACGAACTATCCAAAGAAATGGAGATTCCATGACAATGAATATTTACCTGAAAATTCACCTGAAAGACCCATCTACCTTACAAAAGGTCCTAGCTGCAATCATCAAGCAGACTGAGCAGTGTATCTGGGTGAGTGTGAGTTCATCCATTCTTTCACTCATTCACCTGAGTGAATGCCACACAGTCCGTTCCAGGCCTTTTTCATTTATTGTTAAATGGGTAAGTCACGTGTGGACCTGCCACTCTGACTTTCATACTAGGGAAGCCAGATTTTTTGTTTTTCTTTTTTCTTGCAGTGCTGGATGTTGAACTCAGGGCCTCACACATCATAGGCAAGAGCTCTATCACTGAGCTGTATCCCAAGCCCTAAAAATATCTTCTACTTTAAAATAAAGTCTCCTTCTGATTAGATATAATTAGCATAATTAGCTGGGATATATAAATGACAGAATGACCTTCTCAGGTTAGGACGTTTAAACAAATGGTCACTAAATTGCAAGTTCACAAACTGTCAGGAGAAAGAGGTATACAAAGATCAAGTGACCCAAGGACCCCCCAGAGGCTTGGGGTGGATGTCAGGGCTTCTCTGAGGAAGTGTGGGCAAAGCCGAGACCTAACTTCTCCAGGCAAGGCTGTGGGATAAAAGGGAAAAGAGAATTTGAGGAAAGGAGGAGTTAGAAGGCTTTGTGTCGGGGCGGGGGGGTGAAAGCCAAAGTGTCTGGAGCCCAGGGAGCACAGAAGAGAGATGTCACCTAAGCATTTGAGTGACTCTTCTTTTTCCTTAAAAATGCTGCTAGCAGCTGGGCGCCGGTGGCTCATGCCTGTAATCCTCACTACTCAAGAGGCAGAGATAAGGAGAATCATGGTTTGAGGCCATCTGGGACAAATGGTTTGAGAGAACCTATCTTGAAAAACAACCATCACAAAACAGGGCTTTCTCATATAGGAGAACGCTTGCCTAGCAAGCATGACATCCTGAATTCAAACTCCAAGTGCCGTGCCAAAACAAAACAAAAGAAATTTATAGCCAGGCACTGGTGGAACATTCCTGTAATCCTAGCTACTTGAGAGGTTGAGATCAGGAGGATTGCAGTCTGAGACCAGCCTGGGCAAAAAGTTCATGAGATTCCTATCTCCAAATAACCAGAGCAAAATGCACTAATGGTGTGGCTCAAGTGGTAGAGCCCCTACCTTGCAATCATGAGGTCCTGAGTTAGTTCAAACCTCAGTCCCACATCCAGAAAAAAAAAGTTGCTAAATGGCCACTTACAATACCCTCTCCTGTGGCCTGTGCAATCAATTGATGCTAACAGCTGCAAAACATAGTAGGTCTGCAGGCATAATCTGTCATTTTTAATCCAGAACACAGAGGTTAAGAGTTCTAAGTCAAATAAGAATAACACAATAATACCACCGGGCGTGGTAGTTCACATCTGTAATCTCAGCTATCAGGGAGGTGGAGATTGGGAGGATCATGATCTGAGGTCAGCCTGGGCAAAAACTTGAGGCCCTACCTAAAAAATAACTAAAGCAGAAGAGCCCAGGGTAGAGCACCTGCTTAGAAAGGTTTCAATAATGCTTTGTAGGTTGTACACACTTCTCATTTGTCTTCAAACCAGTGTAGACCGGTGCCATGACTTCCATTTTACAGAAGACACAGGAACACAAAGCAACTACCATAGGGCAACTCTGTCACCAACCTGAGGCCAGTTCTTACCAACTACCTCCAGGGTTTTCCCATCACGCCACAAATTGTTTACAACCCCACATCGTTCTCTCTGCTTCCTGGTGGCCATAAGGCAAGCAGTTTTCCCTGCCACGCCCTTCTGCCATCATGATTCTGCCTTGCCAAGGTGCTGAAGCAATGGAGACAGCTGACCATGGCCTGAAACTGTAAGGCCACCTGATGGCATCTGACCAATGACTTGTACTCAGAAGTGTCAGACTTTCGGAAAGGCCAGACTTGTCCTGCCTGGAAGGTGAACATGACTGGAGTTTGTGTGGCCATCCTGAGCCATGGGGGGACTATGTGCTGAGAAGGATGGGGCCATGAGATACTGACAGGCTTGGCCACAACTGTCCCGGACTGCCAGCCAATGGGGGAGAATAATGGACACTTTGCTATGCATGAAAAATTCCATGTAAAGACAGGTACCACATTTTAGAGGAAATGCTACTATACCTCAATGATAAAATGACTGACCGACCATTCTACTGTCCCAGACCTGGGAGGGGAGGAAGGAAGGAAGGAGGGAGGAAGAGAGGGAGGGAGGAAGGAAGGAAGGAAGAAGGGAGGAAGGGAGGGAGGGAGGGAGGAAGGAGGGAGGGAAAGAGGAGGGGAGGAAGGAAGGAAGGAGGGAGGAAGGAAAGAAGGAGGCAGGGAAGGAAGGAGGGAAGGAAGGAGGGAGGAAGAGGGGGAGGAAGGAGGGAGAGAAGGAGGGGAGGAAGGAAGGAAGAAGGGAGGGAAAGAAGGAAGGAAGGAAGGACGGAAGGAGGGAGGAAGGAAGGAAGGACAGTCAAAGCTGACTCTCCATTTCCCACCATCCTGTCCTGCTTACAGGCCAGCAGGTAACTCTGGCCACACCACAGGTAAGTCTGAAGGCACAGTGGGCTCAAGACAGCCTGCCCAGAAGCCTTGCGTCTAGTAAACTGATTCCACCTGGCTGCTCCCTGCTCCCTGGAGCTGCCCTTCACTGGCAGCTTTGTCCCGAGACCACAGCACAGAACTTCAATACTGACACTGCAGACAGGACCGCTGGCTTCAAAACGCCCATGCTGAGTCCATTTATTAAACCGAATACTCGGGTTACATTTCCACTTAAAGTCTTCTCTTACCAAAATATGAAAAGTGAGAATATTAAATGAAACCTAAGGACAAAAGGAGGACAAGCGAGGTGTCCCCACGAGGCCTGTCAGCAGAAAGGTCAGCGTCCCTTAACTAAGTACCAGTGATGGGCGTGAAGGGTGGATCTGGATTCATTCATAGTGGGAAGACCCGGGGTAGGGAGGCAGAAATCACATTTTGTTTGTGAGTCACGTGGTCACACGATGGCCCTTCCTGAAGAGATGTCCCTGTGTACCTCATGATATGCAAACTCGGCAGAGCCGGTGAGAAAGGCCCTCGCTTAGGAGCCAGAACCCCGATGATCCGGAGTTTGGGGTTCTACAGGGTTTCTGTAATTCTCAAATCTTTAGCTGGAGCAAACCGAGTCTCTCTAGAGGGCACATGACACAAATGTCCCTCTACTCTGGCCTGTTACACGTCCACAGACAGCAACATCAGCTGGCAGAAGATGAGCCTTAAAAACCAAGGTCGACAGCTAGGCATCCTGTCCTAAGTGTGTCATGGGTCATTTACCTAGTGGTCACTGCAATGACACACACAGGGCAACCGTCTGTACTTCAGAAAGGCACTGGATGCATGATTAAGTTTGGTAGCAGACAATTTATGACCGTGATGTCATCGAAATGGGTTTTGAGTCTATCTCATTACGAACATAGCTGGAGTCTAGCGAGTATACCCAAGCCGTGACCCCAGGGGTGATGTCTGGAGTGCACATTCAGAGCTCGTGACGCACTGACATTCCACACTAAAACGGGACTTCACTGCAGGACTGGTGTCTTATTCAGACATTCCCACCATTCTGTCCTCATTACAGACACTTCCACAGAATCTTTTGGGTCCTTACAGATGAATAGAGCATGTTTGTTCATTTTCATTAAGTGACTTTTTTATTTTCCTTCCTTCCATCAAAATACTTCACACTATTTTTAAAAATTCAGGTACATCTGAGAGTTATTAATAGGTTAAAATCACCCCAAATCTAGTATAAATACATTCCAGACTTTTCTATATGTGTACATGGACACATAAGTGTTCCCTTTCTTAAAACAGAAAAATAGAGAATTCAGGCTGGTTTATAACCTTGTTTTCATACAATTAGGAACACATTCTTTTTTTGCAGAAGTGGTGGTGATACTGGGGTTTTGAACTCAGGGCCTCACACTTGCTAGGCAGGCATACTACCACTTGAGCCACGCCACCTTCCCTTTTTTGTGTTGAGTATTTTCAAGAGAGTCTCACAAACTATTTTTCCTGGGCTGGCTTTGAACCCTGATCCTCCTGATCTCTGCCTCCCAAGTAGCTAGGATTTCAGGCGTGAGCCACTGGCATCCAGCAAATTACAGACATTTCTTTTGGTTGTCATTGTTTGTCTTTGTATGCCTGTGTTTTTGCTTTTGCTTTGTTGTATTGTGTTTTTCTGAGACAGGGTCTCACTACAGTAGCCCAGCTCACAATCCTCCTGCCTCAGCCTCCCTGAGTACTGGGATTACAGATGTGTGCCACCACACTGGCTTTTGGGACACATTTCTTTATCAATAAGCATACCTCTTATTCATCTTAAGTCAGTGAGTCTTTTCCCTATGACTCATGTGGCTACAAAAGATAGGATTAATACACAGCCTCAACAGACCCTGAGAGACACAGCCCTCGGGATGGGAAACGGTGGAACTTGGGGGCATCCAGTTCAGGGAAGAGAATAATGTGGTCATTAAAGTTCCAAACAAGAAGGAAATTCATGTTCTTTTTTTTTCACTCTGAAGCTTCCTCACCATCTTGGACTGAGTTTTATGGATACGTTTATTTCTTTTGAAATAAGAATTGAACTTGAAAGATACCCTCCTCACACTAAGACATGGTGAGCACCAGAAACCCAATCTTCCCCCTGGATTTGGGCTTCAAAAACATAAACGCCTCCTTTGAACAAATCAAAACCTTAAATGTTTTCAAGCTTATATCCTTTGAGGGGTCAGCCACAGTTTATTCCTTTAAAGTATTACCAGATTACAACCAAGCAGCACAAAAGAAAAAAAAAAAAAAAAAAAACCCTCAGAGCTTTAGCCAACAGCACTTTCCTCTCCT